ATAATTTTGTTTCATCTTTGGCATCTCCATCCTTCAACGTGTCTTCGTAAATATCTCTACTCTGATAACGATTTGTCTCTCTCACTCTATCTCATTCTCTCTCTCTCTCTCTCTCTCTCTCTCTCCCACTCTCTCTTTCTCTTCCTCTCAGTCTCTCCCTCTCTTTCTTTCGGTTGCAGGAGGGATAATATACGCTTCAACATTTATCTTACACGAAATTAATCTCGAGTCTAAGCTGCGGGATTCGTATTTACAATAATACATGTCGCGTCACGCGACCGCTAAATGCCGTATTATTATCGTTAAGTCCCTTTGATTATAACGAAGTGCCGCCACACACGGCGATTATGTACAAAGTGATCCCCTAAACGACGACGTGTCTCTATGTCGAGCGGAACGGCCTAGTCGCCCACTTCCCGGCTTTCTCTCTTTCCCCTCTTCTCCCTTCTCTCGGTCTCTTTTTCTCGTCGTTTCCGCCCCCGATTTCTTACCGGACTCGTGTTCGCGGAGCAAAACGAACCGTCTCTCTTCGATTTTCTCCCGGAGTCTTCCCCGACCTTTCGCTAATTCGTCAGTCTCGATTTCGGATTTGTGAATTCCTCCCACGTCGAACGCAACTCTCCCCGAATTCTCCCTCCGACGAGAATCGCCGCAGAAGCGTTTTTGAGCAATTAGCGAGCGAAGATAATGAACTTTGTGCGAGCCGCATAAAATAAGCTTCGCGCGACAAAAACTCGTATTTTTCCGTAAATTTCACGGACGGGCCGCGCTTCGAGTCATTAACGCGGCGGATTTCTCGAGCCGAGAGATTTATTCCCGCCGAGAAATAACTCTAGAATACAAATACGCATACAAATGATTTCGAAGTAATTAAAATTAAAATATTAAAACCCTCGACTCTAAATTGAAACCGAAAGACGACGGAGTAATGATTTTGCGCGGTAACAAATCATCGTCTTTCTTCGTGCTTCGAGAAAATGGAACGCGCGATCTTTCTCCCTCTACCACTCAGCCACGAGGTCGGTAAAGTGTCATCCGGTAACATCGTTAAATAACTCAAGAACGAACTTTCGGCATTAATTACTTAAATACCTCTTCACGTAACTCCGACGCGTTCGTTTTATATTAATTAATTTTTAATGCGGCAGCGCGGTCAGTGTCGAATCGGCGATCAATTATACGAAAGAAAAGAGGATCTGCAGTTGCAACCGAGAATCTCGCCAGCTCTGCAAATTTATAACCGTGATATACGACTCTGACAGGTGGCTTTTCCATGTTAAAATAATTGAATTTCAGAGCTACGTAAGAGTTTACTACGATTATACTTAGTGAATGTTATATATTTAAATATGGCAAATTTGTGTCAGTACAGCAAATACTTCAGAATCGAAATTTGTCATTATGAATAAGCGTTATCATGATTTTAACGAACCCAATGCAGAAAATATAGTTTAAGACATTCAACATAAATATATACAAAATATATTTATAGAGATAACTAATCCTTTCCCCGTTGCATCAAAGGAACTTTAGTGCATTACCGAATTTCACTAATAATTAATTTATTTTAATTAACAAACTAACTGATTTAATTAGCTTATTGATATGTAAATTAATAATTAATGATTCATTAGTAAGTTAATTAATAATTAGTGATTTATTAATAAGCTAATCATTAATTTCTCCGGTAAGAGAAGTTAGCTAAAGCAATATCGTTCATAATAGAAATCAATGTAATGATGGAAAATTGTCTTATGTGTCGATCTTGAATAATGTTGATATACATGTACTAATACAACTGCGGCTAAATTTAAACACTTCCCCGTGAAAAGAAGAAAAATATATTTTCATCGTCTGTTGAATAAATACCACATAATTTTTTCGATCAAATTAACGAATATGTTTCGCAAACTTAAATAGAAATTAGTTCGGAAGTAACAAGAAATAATTTGCCACGAAAGTTCAAATAATATCTCTAAAAATCTTCGTTCTACGTAAACAAATTGACAATAGCTTTCACATATTTTTTCCCTGCCCACGGTTATCTGGATAATTAAAACTGTATATCTTCCATTAATAAGTAAATCATTATGTTTAACCCAAGCGCTGAATTAATTTACACAATTAACAATAATTACAAAATTTATTATGTTTCTTGGTAATATAAACTTTACTGGCAATCTATTCTTGTGGTGCTAGAAAAATGATAAAAAATGATAAATTTGAATTTATACATGAATGAAATCTGTATTTAATCATATTTTTCCAGTGTACACACGGGAAAATACATACTGCATTTAAGTAATTTACTCGTTTCAAATGTTTCATAAATTTATATATTCACAAATATATCGTAAGTTCATCATGAACATCAAATTTATTCAAAATATACATTGAACTCTAGCAATAAGTTTAGCACTTCAATCAAAATAAATATTAAATTAAACTTCAATTTGTTTACTCAAATTAACCGACTTTAATTTTTCTTCGATAAAGTTTATATTATCCTTGAAAAAAGAACAGATTTTTCTTTGGAGTACATGATAATGAATTCTTCTTTAAATTTGTGGCGAGTACATTTTAAGACTATTATCAAAGAAAAATATCCTTTATTGAAGATAACTATTATTTAAAAGAAGAAAAGCAGAATGAACAATCGCTTTTCTCAGCAGTGGAATGATCTTTCCCTCTGCGTGGATTTGCCAAAACAACCGATCCACTATGTTCCGTGTAACGATTCTCAACGCAGAAGCGTTTTCCCCGGGAAAATTCCGATGACAACGCCGTGTCGTTATCGTGCGTTTCTTCGACGAGCTCGCTCATTAACGAGTCTCTTCCTCGGCGAGATTTTTATTCGCGGGATCAAATGCGACAGCAAGACGCGCACCGCGGTAAGTTACGAGACACGAAAAATCGGTGGGTCCGGCCTCTCTCGTTCCGTCGTCGCGACTGAAAAGCTCGTGTGTCCGACGTTATCGGGCGGCCGGTATAAAATATTACTGAAATCGGAACATCAATCTGCCGTCGCGCGGACGCGAGCCTTATTTACGAACCTGATAAAACGCCACGGCAGAAATAGACCCGCCGGCCGGCCGTCGAGCGTGTCCCTTAAAATAGGTCGACCGCAGGACGAAACGGGCGCGTGCACATCGCTCTCATCCTTCATTTGGGACGATGAACTCTCTCTCTCTCTCTCTCTCTCTCTCTCCGCCTCTTCCGCGAAGTCTCTTTCCCACAAGAGAACGGCGATACCGCGCGCCGATATTGCGACGCATGCAGGAATTCGCGAGCGCCGGCTTTTAATTTCAGACAAACGTAAAATGGAATCTATCCGCGATGAATTCGTGGCGGTTTTAACTGCCACCGAGGAGCCGTTCCGCGACGGATACGTATCGATCGATAATTTCGACGTCGGCCGGGCGAGCAAATTGGGGAGCGGTGTTAATTTTAATCGGCAAGTTTCCGCTTTGGACTCGCGCCGCGATCTTGGTTGTAATAAGATTTCGCGTACGAAAATTGGGCATGAATTTCATTTGAAGCTAGTTTTGGACGATCTTAATTTGAACTCAGCCTTCCTACCGAATAATAAGAATTGGCGAAGGCAAGATCATATAATCTGTAATAATTGAGTCTAATGATAGAAGAAAACACGATTTCTATTTGCATCATTTGCAATCAATTATTCGTTGAAATTTTAATTTCGAAATTTTTTTCAAATATGTAAATAAAATTATTTAAGAAATGTTATATCTTATTGTAAAATCGAATCTATAATCAAACTGATGAAGTTGTTATTACTTAATAAAACGAAGCATCTCTTTTTCTCTAATTTTACTTGAATTTATGTAATTACTTTCAGAAAATATAAAAATTACAAATTTGAAAAATATAAATAAAATTATTTCAATATTTATATATGAAATTGATATAAATATTGTAAGAGGGGCGATTGTAATCGAATCGATGAAACCGTTATTTAATCAAGCGAAACATGATCTCCTGCACCTGTATAATTATTTTTCAAAATTTAAAAGTTCCTATTTTGAAAAATATAAATGAAGTTATTTAAACTTTTGAAATTGATACTATTACTAAAGGCACGATTGTAATCGAATTGAAGAAGCCGTTATTGTTTAATCAAACGAAAGACGATCTCCTTCTTTTTAATTTAATTGCATTTGTACAATGTTTCTGCACTCCTCAAAATTCTCAAAATTCCCAATTCGAAAAATATAAATGAATTTATTCAAACATTTTAAATCGACCATACCATAAAAGCGATTATAACCGAATCGGTGAAACTATTATTATTAGCAATAATTCGCAAAATAGCGCGAGTTTCATTCTAATCGAATCTGAGGCGATTTTCATTTCAACGCGGGCGCTGTGCCGGTCGCGAATCCGTGCAATTGATAAAATCATGAATCCGCAACAAAATCGGAATCTCACAATAACAGAACGAAACGCGACGCCCTTATCGTCTTAATTTCAGCCGCACTCGGACGCACAGGGGCCGCGGGAGCAAATTTAATCGAATCGATGGTCCGTTGTTACCTGCGACAACATTCGAGACGAAGCGCGATCCGTCCAAAAATTGTCCGTCTTTCCGCAGATCAAGTTTCCCGGGTCTCACGTCGAGGAGAAGACGTGAGAGGAAGACGCGACCGGGGAAGCCGAGTGCGATTCTTGGCGTAAAGGGAGAGAGCCGTGAAGACGCGCGGCTGTCGTACTTCCACGTCCTATCTATGGCGCTGGCGCATTCCGCGTCTGGGGACAATTCTGAGCGCGAAGGACACACATCACCGTTACAGAAAAACAATTCCTTCCGTCCTGCTGTCCTTCCCACATACGATTATCCCCGGGGTTTCGGGGCGCGAAGCCACGGGGGAACGTTCCTCTCCGGCATTCTGCCAAGCGTACTTTCGATACAAAGGGGACACCTGGGAGGAAAGAAGTCCTCCCGTGTCCTGGCGAGCGCGTGAGCGAGCGACCGGCACCGTTCAGATGCACGCCTCGATGTGTACGTTGGTCATCTCGCTGTTGCGCAGCTGATTGTTGACGTGCAGCTCGGAGGACGCGTTGCTGTGGACGAGGTCCTGCTTGCGGTGCACCTGGCGCAGGTCGCGCACCGGGCCGATCGCGCGGCAACAGCTCTCCAGGGTCTTGCGGAAGGCCGCGCGGAACTCGCGGTTGAAGTAGGCGTAGATCAGCGGGTTGAGCGCGCTGTTGAAGTAGCCCACCCAGAACACTACAGCCACCACCACGTCGCCGCTCTCACAGGAATCGCACAGCGCTGTGATGATGTACCTGCGGCGAAGAGAGAGGCGGAGGAATTAATCGGATGGTCAATCGATTTTGAAGATGGTGTTTCTCGGCCCGGTTTCAGCCCGGCCGAGAGCGTTTGATGGATGGCCTCATGGGACGTGCGTGTTAGTCAAAGCGGCCGTCTCGTAACAACATGTTGTCGGGAGGTTTGTAAGCGCGACAGAAGGGGAGAGTCGGATAATTTCGGTCGCACGTATCAAACATGTATGATGAAATCGTATCGAATGTATATTTCAACCCTAAAATACCAGGAGAAAATCGCCTCTTTTATTGGCAATTTTCATTAACAATTTTTAACGATTTTTGACAATAATTCAGCAAATTATTAACCATTTTTTGGTAATTAATGATTACTAAATTATGAACTCTTTCGCACAGCTGAAGTTTTGCGTCTAAGTGGCCGGTAATCCTGATCTTTTGTACGATCCGTATATTGATTCTTTCAAGGATATTTACGAAGAACGCGCGGATAAGAAATAATGTAAACAATGAACATACGATAATAAAGGTCGAAAAATAAGTTTCATAATTACGACTGAATCGAGCGAAAAACTTCTCTGTGCGCGCCGAATGTCCGAGGTCGATAATGAAATGTTCCGATTGTCCCGATCAACGAATATCCCTGATAGACTCGGAGAAATGCGTAAAGAATGCACGCAGAATGCGCGCGGATCCGTAACGGACTGCGTGAGGAGGAAGCTGGAAGCGTCCCTCTTGTTCGCGACGTAACCTACATGCACCTGACGTCGAAATTGTTTCCATCGACAAGGGAAGAATGGATTTATGGGCTTCCAAGGAGGCGGATTCGCCCACGACATCCCCTTTTCTTCTTCGTCCCAGCGGATCTACGCGGCGCGCCGCGCGTTATACGATTTCTCCCACTCCCGATGCTATTATCGAGACTCGATTCAAACGGGACGCAAACACAACCAGATGAAAGAAACGGCAATTGAGTCGCCCGACGTTAAAACCAACGTCGATCCCGTAACGCTAAGTTATTACCGGAAATTAAAGGAGACGCCGCTCGTCTTGAAAATAGCGGGAAATAATTGGGTTTTCCACACGAATCACAATACGTGTTAATTCGTAGAAAAAGAGAACGAGTGAGCGAATGAGTGACTAGTGTTTGTCTTAGGACAATGATTCGCAGACTTTTTCGTTTCGCGTAGTGTAAAAGATATGAAAATTTTCCGACGCGTACTTTGCGCGTAAAATTAAAAATATAAGTATAAGCCTCACTTGATTCTTATATTGAAAGAGATTATTCTTACATAATTACAATATGATTATATACAGGGTGTCCCAAATTAATTATCTCCCGTTATATACAGGATGTCCCAAATTAATCTCGGTTTCCGTGATGTGCAAGTAGAACGGATGAAACTGAGCGGAAAAGTCATGTACCATTTTGCAAAATTCGCAATAGTTAGTGAGGAATTAATTATTTCGTCTGAGCTTATGAGCGCACGGGAAAAGGTAGGCTATATACTTTGTATAAAGAAAACTGGCTGGACATCAAAACTGACATAAATATGATAACTGACATAGATATGATAATATCTTTGTATTGTCGAGTAATACATAAATTTTGTCTGCTGTAGCAGTTGCAGCTGAAATGGCAGTTTCGGTTTGCAAGCGCGTTCGCTATTAGCATCGTTTGATTTTTTGCTGTGATGACATTTTATTGAGAATTCTTTCTGCGAAAGTTCAAGAAACAAAGCAGCTCCAAGTAATTTATTTGACAATACTATTTTATATTATAAGTTTTAAACTTTCTTATAGTATAAGTTTTAAACTTTTTAAATCACTTCGGATCTCCTGCCAATCTTTGTACTCCTCTATTACTGAACCACGCAAGAAAAGTTAAAGTTAAATTCTTTTGTTAACCGAGATACCTGGGTTTACTCGCCTTTCAACAGACTTCCTTAAACTTTTCTGTGAAATATTATTTCACAGAATACAATTAAAGCTACAAATGATTGGTTTGCGCTTATTTTTCTCGTTTGTTTAAGATGGTCGGTTTATAAATTTTAATTTTATACTTTCAGCACGAGGCTTTGAAACCTATAAACAAAATGGTAAATTTTAATGCTTTTACTCTATGACAATTGACACTATAATAACACTCATCAGAAAAATTATTCTCCTGGCTATAATTTTTTCACATATGCGATTATAGTTATAAATATCAAAACCTTTTTTCTCAGCGTGGTGACAGAAGGTAAGCATATAATCTGGATTTAAATGAATCCATGCTCTTCAATGTTCTATTATAATAAATTCCGGAAGATTATTCCATGTGGAAAAAGAGCAAGAAGAGAGAGGGAATGAGAAAAGATGGAATATCAAATATTCTCTCAAAATTTTATCGAATTTTTCACCCGATGGGGACATCTCTAGAACTTGTGCGATGTCGCGCCTGTGGAAATTGAAATATTTTCACGACGCTCTCGAGATACGTAGGTTTGCGAGATTTTCGCTTTCTTCCCCAAAATTAAACATCCTAAATTATTTTCTCGTCGGATATTCCGCATCATCGGCGTCCGAACGCGAAGCACGAGTGCCGTACGTAGCGTCGATTCGTTATTTGTATTAATGCCATCACGCGCTTACGTGTCGATCGATCGTCCTTCGATCGCACTCCGGCGCATGAGAGATCCTCCCCTGAATAAATAAACAAGAGCTGGCAGCGAGGTGGGAGGAAGCGAAAGGGTGAAACTATCGCGGGACACGGGTCGTTGCATAAGAAGCGGGCAAGAAATCGAGTATCGATCTGTAACGGAAGTTATGGTACCGCCGCGGTCGTTGTCGGGGAATGAGCGGAACGCGGATGAAAGTTTTACAGGAATTGAGCGACAGTACGTCGTGCACGACGGTCAATGAGAAACGGCGTGTTTGCCCGGTGTGTAAAGCGCTCCTAACCCATTCACATGTGAAGGGAGCCCGAAGGGAGAGCGAGAAAGAGATGGAAAGAGAGAAAGAGACAGACAGAGAGAAAGATAGAAAACGAGAGAAGGAGAAAGAGAGAGAGAGAGAGAAAGAGAAAGTTTGACCTTAACCGACGCCGGTTGCTATTCTTAGCTGCTCTTCGGCCTATACATTTAATTAACTATTACGAGTTATACATATACACATATGTACATAAGTGCACGTTCGATCTGTATCGAGCGGCGCAAATGCGTGCGGAAACGGCGACGCCACAGCCTGCCGGGGATAAGATTTCTCTTCCGGGAGTAACCCTTTCCGTGAATATCAAAACTGAGTCGTCCATAGAGTCCACGGTGGATTTACTTCGAGCTAAAGACATCGTCTCCTTTTCAGAAACAATTCTCTTTGTGAATATTAAATGTAAACGCCCCTTGGAATTCGCTGTTAACGTGTTTCAAATTTATCCATCTCTTTCTGAATACTTAAGCTCATATTCTGAATTCTTTTTTATCGATAAAAGTGGCTTTTATCTTTAAAAATAGCTTAGGAATTATTTGATTGGCTGAAAAGTCACGTTTAAGGCTTTCATCGATAAAAGAGAGTTCAGAATACGGGACATAATCAATACCGAATTTTATGACCGCCTATAATAAGGTGTTTACCGATTTTGGGAGGAATATTTTCTACGAACATTAGAAATAACTGCCCGCAGGATCCACTATAAATTTGTTCCGAATCCATTAACCTCTCTTTTCGAATAGTTAATCTCTTCACAGACCAATTTATTATTAAAATCATAAAAAAAATGATTTAATTTTAACGTGATACAAATATAACACCTGCCAATAACATGACGAGGTCTCTCTCTCTCTCTTTATTCTTTTTCGGTTAAGTTGTTTTGCGGTAAAATTTATTTATAACAGTGTTCGTTGCATTTTTATCAATGGTTGAATTAAAAAAAAAAAACATGAAAGTGCCTGAATATAAGTATGTTTCAATATCTCTGAATCAAGCTTAATCAATATTGGATCTTACGGAATTTTCGGAGGTAAGGAGACCATCAATTGACGAGTAAGAGTGCAGTAGAATCTGAAATCCTTTAGAATCTTTTCCCGATACCTTTTCCGATCACTACTATATTTTTCGCTCGACAATCGTGTTCGTTAGAAAACTTCGTTCGGCCGACGTTCGCCGGAGAAGAATTCTTCTCTTCCTTCTATTTCACTCCTTCTTTCTCTTTCTTAGAAGCCGACGAAGACAATGCGGCCTTGCATTTCGCCCGCTAACAATTTCATTTCGAAGCGCCGTCGTGCGCGTTCGACCGATATTCGTGGCGCGACAACGACGTTGGAACTTCGCCGGAATATATCCTGCCTATGTACTGAGGCTCGATATTCCGGGCTATTACCCGATATTCACCGCGAAATTATTATCGCTCTCGATACGGTACCGCGGCGAAAGGAGCATCCGGACAAATAAAATGTACGTGCATATAAAATGAAACCGAACGCAAAATAAACGTCGAGCAATCGAGTAAAAAGTGCAACGTTACGTCAACAATATGAAGTAAAAAGAATTTCTTTTATTACGCAAGTCAAAACTTAATTAAATTCTCCAGATACGCTCAACGTTCGGTGTCGTGAATTGAGAATATTCAATCTTTTTTCTTTTCTTATTTTCGCGAGAATAGCGAATTTTTTGGTTCATTCACAAATTAAAAATTCTACTGCAATAAAATACTTTCCTCTGATAAAATTTAACGTAAGAGGAGAGTAAAATTCTGCCAGGAAGAATTTCGAAATGCGCCCCAGTCGTTTCTCATCCCAGGATTATTACGAATAAGGTAAGCACGTGAGTTCTGTAGAGGAAGTAATATACCGAGGAAGCACTACGAGCGAAATTTGACAGTGACAGATAGCGGCTAAGAATATCCGGGCTCTATTTTATTATCCGCAATAATTTCGAGAAACAATTGGGCGCGTTCTCTCCCTGGAAGTGGGTAATATACTAGACTCAAAAATAATAAATATGGGCTTAAGGATACCGGCGGACAT